CATTTGCTGTACGTAAGTGGACACTGTAATTTGTTGAATGTACGCAAGTCAGCGAGTGTAATATGTATTGTAAGCACTAAGGATATTAGACAGCTTCAGTTCAGTAAATAGAAAATACGCGCGCGTGTCACGTATGTATGTTTTCGCTGATGATGTCATCACTTTATGCTGTCTTTATACGTAACGTAGCGAGAGCCATAAACGACGGCAAATGAAAGCAACTTGGTACGGAACCTTAACACCTGAAGTTTCGGTTTTATACACCACATCAGTACCAAATTATATTCCTAAAACAAAAATATCTTACTTTCACAACGCTTAAAGACATTTTCGTTAACTAAGTATGACTTAGCAAAGGATTACTTATGCATTATACATCGCATGACAAGGTAAAAATATCCCAACCTTGTTAATATAGTAGATGTAAAGCTTGTTAATAAGTAGCTGTAAACGTTTCTGGAAAAAGTAATTTTCAGTTATGGTTAACGCTAAATGTCCTTTTCAAAAGGTGTGGTTGTTGAAAGGATGCTTTTGGTCACCTGTTGTTACAGTATATCTTTGCCTCCTCGGCACCACAAACGATTCCAACGTGTTCTAGACCAGTACCTGTAATCTGTAGGCATAGTTTTGTGTGATTTATTATATGAAATTTTAAATTATGGTATTTATAACGGTGATATTCTGTGCTGTAAAAGCTGCATTGCTGGTGATGATTTTAAATTTTTGATCTAAACCAGGGTTTAAAGTCGGGCGTGGCAATCACTCTGCACTGACAAGAGACGACCTCACGAGGCTGAACCAGTGTTAACTTGAACAGCAGGATCGTCACTCAGCTCACCTATGAGAAGATAACACCAGAGACGTAAGACACCCCACTCTGCAGACCACGCACTGGTACTTTAACATCTCACTTCCTCAGCGAAGCCAATGAACTGTTGAATTGGGTCTGATTTCTTTGATGATTTACTTCTGCACCATTTCATCCTGTGCTGGCGAGTCGTCTGTGAAGCGACACTTGTAAGAAAAGTTCGTCCGGACCAAGTGAAGTGTAGAGCTGAATCTTGTTCCGGGAGAGACAGTTCGTGAACCGGATTCAGTTCCAGTTTGTGGAGCATCAAGTCCCACATTTGCAACGGCCACCAAGCCCTCACCGTTTCGTCTCGAGCCCGGTCATTCTTATTCGACGTGGTCTTTGTCCCTGTTACAGCTCATTTTTTGCACCGTCAAGGACTAAACTCTATTCGCCATCTGTGGAGTCCAGCATTCTTCACTATAGTACCTGCTACGCTCTCGCCCGTAAAAACAATTATATGAGATCTTTTTTTTTATTCTTTATCCTGATCATTGAAAACTAGTTCCAAATTGTATTTTCTTTGTTATCCTTACTTTTACACTCCAAGTGTAACATTCTCATTAAATCATAATTGTTTATTTTTTCTTTATATCAGTGTTATTTTGCTGGTTTTCTTTGTTGCATCGGAGTGAATTCAAACTTAAGAAAGTTCTGAAATAGTTTCGAGTTTTTCCGATCGTAACACTGGTCATTCCTATTGGACTTGGTTCTCCCCTCACCCGAAGTACGGGTGAGTCCTTTCGCTGGTGCTCTTCAACATCTACCTTGCGGTCATCTCCCTTCTCTCCTGGGAGCAACTCCGCCTGGATGATGGAGTCACCCTCAGCTACCAGCTGGATGGTAGCCTCTTAAACCTTCACGGCGGCTTCATGCCAGCCGTAAGACCCGGTTAGAAACTATCTTCTACCTGCAATATGCAGACAACGCAGCTTTCGTTAGCCACACATCAGACGGCCTGCAGAGACCTCTACCATTGCAGAGTTTGTACCCCAGCGCTGGGCCGGTCATAAACGCCCGTAGGCNGACTTTGCTGTACGTAAGTGGGCATTGTAATTTGTTGAATGTACGCAAGTCAGCGAGTTTAATATGTATTGTAAGCGCAAACGATATTAAACAGCTTCAGTTCAGCAAATAGAAAATACGCGCGCGTGTCACGTATATGTATCGTTTTCGCTGATGACGTCATCACGTTAGGCTGTCTTTATACGTAACGTAGCGAGAGCCGTAAACGACGGCAAATGAAAGCAACTTGGTATGGAACCTTAACGCCTGAAGTTTCGGTTTTATACACCACATCAGTACCAAATTATATTCCTAAAACAAAAATATCTTACTTTCAAAACGCTTAAAGACATTTTCGTTAACTAAGTATGACTTAGCAAAGGATTACTTATACATTATACATCGCATGACAAGGTAAAATATCCCAACCTTGTTAATATAGTAGGTGTAAAGCTTGTTAATAAGTAGGTGTAAACGTTTCTGGAAAAGTAATTTTCAGTTATGGTTAACGCTAAATGTCCTTTTCAAAAGGTGTGGAGGTTGAAGGTCACTTTGTGATCTCAGCATTAAAAGGATGCTTTTGGTCACCTGTTGTTACTGTAGGTGTTATTTCTTTTTACCCCACTACAGTTCTTTTCGAATATCTTTAAAATGATAAAACGTGAACCTGAAATTTTGCCTGAACAAGAAATGTACGTGTGTGTGTCACATTTTGATTAAACCGCTTTATTTCTAAGTCTTCGAACTAGCATTGCGTAATTCTTTTTCTTTGTATTAAGAGGTCCAGTGAAGATCCTGACCAAAATTTTAGTTGGAGTCAGTCTCAAATACAGTACCGATTGACTTTTAGTTAATCCTTTTGTCGTTACATTGTACGTATATAAGCTGTTAATCCAATGCGTGCTCAGTGGGCAGAGGAGTTGAATTGATTGTTGGTATTGCCAATGCCAATATGTAAACTATAGCGTTGTGTAGATTTCTTAAACATTTCTTCACTAATAGGGCTGGGTATAAAATACTGCGGAGGGCGTTGGCTCTTCACTTGGAGGCAACACTGCAGGGCAGCCAGAGCATGCGGGCTCTGTTAGTTTGTACCCGTTCGTAGAGGAGTTGTGGGCTCTTAGAACCGAGATATATGTGCAAAATTGTTGCATTTGGGAAGAGATCCCACAGCCCGTCTGCTGTGGTCACGTATATCTTTGCCTCCTCGGCACCACAAATGATTCCAACATGTTCTAGACCAGTTAATTCATTGTAATCTGTAAGTATAGTTTTTGGCGTGATTTATTATATGAAATTGTAAATGATGGTATTTATAACGGTGATATTCTGTGCTGTAAAAGCTGCATTGCTGGTGATGATTTTAAATTTGATATAAACCAGGGTTTAAGTCGGGCGTGGCGAGAGACGACCTCACGAGGCTTAACCAGTGTTAACTTGAACAGCAGGATCGTCACTCAGCTCACCTATGAGAAGATAACGCCAGAGACGTAAGGCACCCCACTCTGCAGACCACGCACTGGTACTTTAACATTTCACTTCCCCAGCAAAGCCAATAAACTGTTGAATTGGGCCCGATTTCTTTGATGATTTACTTCTGCACCATTTCATCCTGTGCTGGCGAGTCGTCTGTGGAGCGACACTTGTAAGAAAAGTTCGTCCCGACCAAGTGAAGTGTAGAGCTGAATCTTGTTCCGGGAGAGACAGTTCGTGAACCGGATTCAGTTCCAGTTTGTGGAGCATCAAGTCCCACATTTGCAACGGCCACCACGCCCTTACCGTTTCGTCTCGAGCCCGGTCATTCTTATTCGACGTGGTCTTTGTCCCTGTTACAGCTCATTTTTTGCACTGTGAAGGACCGAACTCTTTTCACCATCTGTGGAGTCCGGCATTCTTTACTATAGTACCTGCTAAGCTCTTGCCCGAAAAAACAATTATATGAGTTTTTTTTTTATTCTTTATCCTGATCATTGTAAACTAGCTCCAAATTGTATTTTCTTTGTTATCCTTACTTTTACACTCCATGTGTGACATTCTCATTAAATCATAATTTTTTTCTTTATATTAGTGTTATTTTGCTGGATTTCTTTGTTGCATCAGAGTGAATTCAAACTTAAGAAAATTCTGAAATGGTTTCGAGTTTTTCCGATCGTAACACTGGTCATTCCTTTTGGACTTGGTTCCCCCCTCAGCTTATTTTTGCATCGTCAAGGACTGAATTGTTTTTCGCCACCAGAGAAGCCCAGCATTGCTCATTGAAGTGCCCGCCAAGCGCACGTTATTAAGATCTTCTTGCTTATATAAGATTCTTTACCCCTATTGTTGTAAACTAGTTCCAATCAGGGGGGTGGGAGGGATAAATGAGCAACTCCCTGCTCATGACATGTCCTTTATGACCTGCATCTCTTTACCCTTATTGTTGTAAACTAGTTCCAATCGGCTGAATGCGATCCACAGACTACCTTAGAATCAGACCTCCTGCTCGGAAGCGCGCTTGGAAGAAGATGGTCAATTATGGTGTCCTGTGGAACCTGCTTAACCGTCAGGCGATGCGTTAAATGATAGCTGTAACCCTCTCCAACGTCCCTCCCCCCTCCATATCTGCCGAGATTACCAGTGCGACAACATCTCCAGAGTGGAATATCATCGTCACTGCCCATCAGAGGTGTTGCCGTTGCTGCACTAGGGCACACCAACAGATGTCTCCCGGACTGGTTTGATGACATCTGTAGTGAAGTTGCTTGTTGAATATTTATGATGAGTACTGAATAAATCAATGAGGCGTGCCCATCGCATGCAGGCTGGTCCTTTAATTGGCACCAGCCCTGTGCACGGCAGTCAGTCTTGTGTGTGGACCTGAAACCGTTCCAATTTGTCGTGTCCAACGACTCAGCACTCAAGACTGTAAAGCTGCACATCATCTGCCCTGGGTAAACATGGGAGGAAATACAAGACAATAGTATGGAGATTCGTTTGCCAAGCTCCGTGCCGTGGCCCAGACCCGCCTGCGCGAGATGGAGAACGAATGGTGGAGGTACGAGGCCCGCGAGATTCAGGGCCTCGCGGACGACCCCAACCTCCACGGATTATGTGATGCCGTCAAGTCCATCTATGGCCCAATCAGACGCTTTTCCTGTCCCGTTTGGGTCTACTGATGGTTCCACCCTCATTGGACTGCACTGTGATCGATCACCTACCTTTGCTTCCACCCGTTTTTTGAACTGGATAACCTTCCGGCCTTTTCCGAGGTCAAGAGCTTGAAGAACAACAAAGCTGCAGGGCGGGATCCTCAGATACATTTTTTAATATCCACCAGTTCATCAGTGACATTTGGGTGGCTCAGGCTCTTCCTCAGCAGTGGAAGGATGCCAATATCGTCACCGTCTACAAGAGGAAAGGAGATAAGTCTATCCGTGGCAACTACCGCGGCATTTCGCTCCTGTCGGTAGCTGGGAAGGTTCCAGCCAGGGTGCTGCTGCAACGTCTCCCTGCTTCCATTCTCAATGTTGTACTCCCAGAGTCTCAATGTGGCTTTTGGAAAGACAGGAGCACCACGGACATGATCTTTGTTGTTCGCCTTCTCGAGGGAAAGTATAGGGAGCAGCACTGTGATCTCTATATCACCTTTGTAGACCTCTCAAACGTCTTCAATACTATCAATAGAGGTCTCCCGTGGACCATCCTTTGCAAGTGCACCTGCTCACCTAAGTTCACAAAGGTCATCCAGGAGTTCCTTGCTGGTATGCTTGCCCTTGTACTAGTCGGCAGCTTTGAGGCGGGGTATTTTGGGGTCAAGGTAGGCACGAAGTAGGGGTGAGTCCTTTCGCTGGTGCTCTTCAATATCTACCTCGCGGCCATCTCCCTTCTCTCCTGGGAGCAACTCCGCCTGGACGATGGAGTCACCCTAAGCTACCAGCTGGATGGTAGCCTCTGCAACCTTCACGGCGGCTTCATGCCAGCTGTAAGACCCGGTTAGAAACTATCGTCGACCTGCAATATTCAGACAACGCAGCTTTCGTTAGCCACACATCAGACGGCCTGCAGAGACCTCTACAATTGCAGAGTTTGTACCCCGAGCGCTGGGCCGGTCATAAACGCCCGTAGGTGTCCAGTAGGTGTCCAGGTAGTCGAGGCATTAGAAGTACCCTTGGCTGTGGGCACTGAGGACCTCATCCAGGTAAATAGCTTCGTCTACCTTGGCAGCATCCTGACGTCGTCCAGCAGTATGACAGACGAGGTGCAAAACAGGATCAGATGGGCCTGCAGTGCCTTTGGCCGATAATCTCTAGTCTTTCGCTGAGATGTTTCGCCGAGTATTTATACACCTGTGTAATATTAATTAAGGCTCCAGGTACCAGATTTCAGATATCCCAAGGCCAGTAAATAGAGTAACGGAAGATTTCCCATAAAATAAAATCTTCTGCCCGTATGGCAAGAATACAATGCTGCGTACTGGCGTTAAAACCGTTGAACAAACGCGTACGCCCCTATATTTCTAACGATAGGGAGCTGTTGAGAACTAATCGAATGTCAGATGACTACTCAATGCTTTCAGATAGCGCCTTGGGCAGTAGCATCACAAGGTCGTACATGTAAATATTCCATTGTGGTAGTGAATCCTATGTTGGAAAAGGGCCCCCCCGGTAAGCTCGCCCGGTTGCAAAAACCCCTTTCATTCCGGCCTGGCTACTGGCCTGGGATGCTGGACTGGTTGTTGATCTCGAACTTCTTCATCCTGGGGTCTATTGTTTGC